CCGCGCGCGCATTCTCTCGCACCGTGAACTCTCGGACGTGCTCGGCGGCCGCGGCCACAACTAGCAAGGTGATCACGCGCAACATGGCGCGTTTGTTCTTTTCACCGCTCGCACATCCTCACTCACACCTGGAAAAAAAAACACCTTTATAGCCAACTATAAGGAAGCTTATATTTTAAGAAATTCAACGTAAGTGAATAACGTTTGTAGGTAGTTAAACAGTTACCAACTTAACTATTCTGATCCAGTTAAAAGATACAACATCATTATTTCACGAATTTACATTTAACTGTGCTGTAAACATTTGGTTAAAAGACATTTATGCGCAACAACTAATTTGTTCAACGGACCCCACCCTAAATTACTCTATATTCGATTCTTATCACATAAGATAGTGCCTAAATAGGCTACGGTGGCTATCACCAGATCGTCGACGTAGTTAATGTCTTATTTTGTAACAATAACATCATTTTAAGCACAACGCCATCTATTGTTAAAGGCGAGTAAAATATTTATGTCGATGTAACTATGTATAAAATACTTTACTTGTAAAATACCGCTTCAACAAGTTAAAGCTCAATCAAGTTGTACCTGTTGTAGGTGAAAACATTAAACGCTTTTACTTTCTTGTGTTACGTAAATTATTATAAAAAAACAGTGTAAGTGCGGACTTTTACATCTCTACTCCGTAGTGATGTATCGTTGCGTAAATAATTTATTTATCGTTTATATTTTAGCATAAGAAGTGTTAACGTTAATCCTTCTAGAACTCTGATGTAACCTCTAAAAGATTTAACATGTCTAATTTAAATTATAATGTTTTAAAAAGTTAAAATGATCAATTATTTTTATTCATTTGTACTGTAATTCACCGCAGTTTATTTTAGAATGACTCAATTTCAATCATAAATAATTTAATTACATTAAAAAAATATTGTTTGTTACTTCTAAGAACAAATTTACAAAACAAAAGCATTAACAAATTATTAATTTATTATTAACAAGACACATCGTACACGAACCATATCCTTTCTCATTACTCTGATCCGAAATGGACAAAAATATTAGCATATCTTGAACCCTTGTCAGTTTGTGCTGCTGCCCGTCTTTATTCATTTATTTATTTTAAACATCTAAGTGGTGAGTTGCGAAATATCTGAAACGCATTCGATAAACAGGATGTGTTAGTCAGATAAGATGTAATGCAACTAAACGTGTCACGGAAGACTTAGCTTAGTTGTTAAGAAGAAATTAATTATGTCACGTAAGAGTTGCTGACAAACTTAATAATAATAAAACATAACCACAATTGAAAGTTGTAAATATTTTTTTGTATTCATTGATTTATAGAAAACAAACGAACATCAATATATGCAGTGGTCTTAATACTGTAAATGCGAATGTTTCGATGTTTGTTATTACATAGCTCCGATTAATGGATGTCGATGAAATTAGTCTGGAAGAAGGGCGAAAGCTAGTTATTAAAAAAATGACTTAAATCCTTCGAGATTTAAGTCTGACTACTAATCAATAAGCCGTCTTTGACTAAAGTATTGTCAATTGTTTCGCTGCCAATTCAACTGATTAGTTCCACGGCTAAAACTCGAGTAGTTTGCCCATCTCTATAAGCTTATAGGAATCAAAGCGCGACTAAACAGTTATGCGATAGTTTAGTCAAAGGTTCGCGCGCTGTAACACTGTTTTATTATCTCTAATTGGCGTTCGCCCGTGTGGAAAAAAAACAAAAGTAAGTAGCCTATGTGTTCTTCCAGACTATGCTCTACATCTATGCCAAATTTCATCTAGATCCGTTCAGCTGTTTAGGCTACAAACTCTTACATACCATCCATCTAAACTTTCGCATTTATATTAGTATGAAGTATGATTAGTTTTTGCAAATAAAAATAGTATAAAAAACAATTGAGTGTCGTAACCAGGTCAACTCTTTAATAACGATATCGCTACAATGTAATTATAAATCGAGTCTTGTTAGTGAGAGTGTTAATTAACAATTTGATTCATTGTCGACAAAATAAACATTATTAACGTTTTGTTTTGTTTTTCTAATCAACTTTATTTTCTAATCAAGTTTCTAGTTACTTTCATATTTGTTTTACATTAGATTTCTACTACAGAAAGATCAGTATCAAAACAACTTGAATAATTTGCTTTGGAACAGATTTCGTGCGGCTTCAGCCGCACTAAATTATGAAAATTTTATTTCATTGTTCACATTTGTCAAATTATAAATAGCAAATGTTAAAATTACATGATATTACAATTGCTTTCTTGATGTTGGCAGCAACTTATGGTCTCTTTCCCATATTAGGGATTTTATCCAAAATATTTACACCCTAAATTTAATGGCGTGAAAATAGATAGCCTAAAGCGTGACGTAAGTGTAGGGCTCTTTATTAAAAAGCGAATTATTCAAAAATATCCTGCAATTGCTGACATCTTAGGCAACAAAGAAGTGTGTGTTTACGCTTTATTATAATAGTATAGATAAATAACAGTAAGAACATATGTTTTTATTAATAAGTAAATTGTAACCTTTTTCAAGTAAATTCTGTAAACAGATAAAAGCGATTTTTAACATATTTAGGGCCTGTCCCTCCAAATTGTAAATTGTCTGATAGCAATCCAACGTGTAAAATATGTGTTGGAAATATCGGATTTTGTTTCCTTATGATAGTGACATCATTTTTAAGCTAACTGAGCCTATCAGCTAGTGGTGGGACAGGCTTATGTGGATAAGTATTGCATGAACGTATTTGTTAGTGAAAATCTAAAAACATTTTTGACTAGAAATTGTTCTAAGTTTAAATAATGGACGACCCCCTAGTAAAAGTAAACGTAACAGAGATAATAATTAAAATTTACAAAACACTAAGCCGCACCTTTGACTAAACTATCGTACAACTGTCGTGCGACTGTCGATTGTCGTTTGTTTCGCAGCCTATGTTGAGGTTACATCTAAAAATCGAGTAGTATACGCATGTCCATTATAAACTCAAAGGTGTCCGCTCTTAGTATTAGATTATTGTAAAATTGTTCAAATCATTGTATTCCAAAGATTAAAAAAATGTTGACATAAATTAATAAATTGCTTTAACAACTATTCTTTCAAAAACTTAACAAATCAATAAAATATTTGAAATAGAATTAAGGCTTTTGTTTTTTAGTAATATTTTACGATATTAAGGAAATTTTATAGTTAATTCAAAAGGAAATACCGTCGCTGATTAGTTCGACATAATTCATAGAGCTGTCATCGTTAGACCGGTCGTGATCATTTTACATATGGATTAGCATTTTATGTTACCTAAATTACAGCTCTATGTTACATAATAGTAGCGTTGCGATTTCGTCCCAAAATAAAATAAAAAATATTTCGTTGTGGTTTTATTGAAAAAAGTGAAAAAAAGCCACTGAAGTGTGTTTTTTTTTAAATCAACGTTTTTAGTATTAGCATAATTATTTTATTTAAAAAAAAACATTAAAATAGTGAGATTACGAAAGAAATGTCTTAAAAAAAGGTTTTTTTGTATTCCTTAAAGATATAACCTAATTAAAATTCATAATTCATAGAAATACTAATTTATTCAATCATCGACATATAAGTGAAGGCATTTGTCTTCAAAATCCGTTAATTATCAAAAATTAAACAAGCCCGACATACAATATATCAAAAAACAAAATGGCCGACCACCTCTACGTTCCTAACATAAATATTAGGATCTGTTAAATCGTAATAGGCATTTATCATTCGCATAAAAAGTAAGAAATTATTAAAATACTTTAAAAGATAAATGGTTCTTAGATAATGAGGTAAAATACTATACAAAGTTGATTTAAATTAACCCCGTAAATTATTAATTAAAATTTTAAACAGTGTGTAGTATAAAATTTATTAAATCCAAATAGTGGCAAAGTTTCTAACATCTTTTTGAGTTTATATCTTGTAGTTTTATCTTATACTAGCTGTTGCTCGCGACTTCGCCTGCATGAAATAAAAAAATAGCCTATTTTACTCACAGATAAATTATCTTTCTAACCGTGAAAGAATTTTTAAAATCGCTCATTAGTTTTTGAGTTATTTCAATACATACAAAAATACATCTTTCTTCTTTATAAAATATAGTATAGATATATGTAGATATAGCGATTTTTATAGAGATCCGTTCCGCCGTTTAGGAGATAGCTTCTAACAAACATCCATCCATCTAATCTTTTGCATTTATAACATTAGTAAGTTATAAGCTACTTTTGATTGATACAGCTTTAATAAAGGCTTACATAATTTATGTAACAAATTATTGCAAATTGTAGGAGGCAGTTGACTCAACCATTAATTTATTTACTACTAGCTGTTGCCCGCGACTTTGTCCGCGTGACATTAGAAAAACGACAAACTATTTAAATAACAAACAGCTACGTGTCTCTCGGGAACCGGACATTTCTCTGGGATGAACCTTATCCCATGTGTGCTCCAGACTTTTTTTTTATATCTGTGCCAAATTTCAATAAGATATGTTGAACCGTTGCAGAGTGATCGAGTAAACATTGAAAAAACCAAATTAATTAATCCCACGGGAACCGTAACTATTCTCGGGATAAAAAGTAGCCTATGTGTTCTTCCAGACTATGCTCTAAACCTGTGCCAAATTTCATAGATATCCGTTCAGCCGTTTAGGCTACAAACAGCTATCCATCCATCGTAACTTTCGCATTTATAATATTTATGTATGATATATGACTCCATATTTGCTTAGACTTGTTGGAAAGGGCAAGATTGTTATTAACATTAACTATACTACTATAATAATTATACTAACCTGTAAAGTTGTAATAATTATTTACAAATTTTAACTCCATTCAATTCGCAA